ATATATATATATATATTATATATATAATATTCGATGATTAATGATGTACTTAGGGAAGAAAAGGAGAACCAGGAGAAGTTTCGGAAAAAGGACAGAAAGGTGAACCAGGAATGCCTGGAATACGAGGTCCTCAAGGTCCTCCAGGACGAGATGGTATCGATGGAGCAAAGGGTGAACCTGGAAGACTAGGCATTGGTCGTGATGGACAGCCTGGACAGAAGGGTGAGCCAGGCTTACCAGGTCGAGATGGTTTACCAGGATTCCAGGGTCAAAAAGGTGATACTGGTGTACGAGGATTCCCAGGAATAAAAGGCGATTTTGTAAGCTGAGTTTTTTAATAACCAATAGTAGAAATAATAACAAGTATATATTTTACTTATTTTTATTAATTTCTCTTTGTTATTATATTAACAGGGTCCACCAGGCATATCGGGAGAACCAGGACCGCCAGGTATAGATGGACTTCCTGGAGAAGTTGGTGAAATTGGACCAGTAGGAGTACCTGGTTTCCCTGGACTTGATGGCGAAATGGGTCCTCCTGGACGGCCTGGACTTGATGGTGTTAAAGGAGATCGCGGTTTATCCGGTAAGAAATAAATAAGAGATTTTACAAGTATTATATATTTGTTTTTATATATAATCTACAGTAAAACCTCGTTTATCCAAACCGATTGAGGGACAAGATAGTTCAGATAACCGAGGCTCACAACCTCTATTATACGAACTATCGGTTTCTATAATACGAACTATCTGTTCGTATAATAGAGGTTGGGCCTCAAGTCGTTCCGGATAAAAGAGATTCGGATAAACGAGGTTTCACTGTATTAGCAAGTATAAAAACATAACATAATCGATTTTTAGGACCTGTTGGATTGCCTGGTATTTCTGGAGCACCTGGAGAAAAAGGAGATCGTGGCCCTCCAGGACCAACAATTCAAATTAAAGGTGAAAAAGGTGAACCAGGTATTCCTGGAATACCTGGAGAGAGAGGAGAAAAGGGAGATCAAGGCTTGATAGGTATTGCTGGATATGATGGTGAAAAAGGCGAGAGAGGTCCACCTGGACCCGAAGGACTCCATGGACCACATGGTGCACCTGGACTTAAAGGTATACATTCTTTTTAAGTATGAAAAAGTTGCTCAAGATAGTTCATATATTTTGTATATTTATAAAATTTATAAAACATTTGTATGTTTTATTTAGGTGAACAAGGTCCTCACGGTATTCCTGGTATACCAGGACTTACGATAAAAGGTGAAAAAGGTCTACCAGGTTTAATGGGTAAGCATGGTAGAGACGGATTGCCAGGACGACCCGGAGAAAAAGGAGAGCAAGGATTACCGGGTTTGCCAGGACAAAAAGGAGACATAGGTCCTTATGGACCAGTCGGACCACAAGGTGAAAAGGGTGATCAAGGACCATCTGGTTTGACCGGATCACCAGGACGCGACGGAGCTCCTGGTCTGGAAGGTATGCCAGGAATACCTGGTGAAAGAGGAGAAAAAGGTGATCAAGGACCGCCTGGAGCGTTTGGTTTTCCAGGACAGAAGGGAGAACGTGGTCTTACAGGTATTGAATATTCTTATTTTTAAATTATAAATGTAAATTAAATAAAAATAATTTTAAATTATAACGTTAATTTTGTTTTTATTTTTAGGACCCAACGGACTGGACGGACCTCCAGGAGAGAAGGGTGACAGAGGTTGGGATGGCGTAAATGGTCTGCCTGGGACTACTGGTGAAAAAGGTGATAAAGGATATCCTGGCCCATCCGGTGCGGTAGGTGTTTCTGGTTACATAGGCGTAAAAGGTGAAAGAGGTGACGACTGTATCGAACCTCCAATGGGACCTAAAGGAGATCGTGGATATCCTGGTAAACATATACAATAAAATTTGATGTATTTTTTTAAATTCAATATAGAAAGTTTTTTTCGTATTTTATCTATTTCAAATATGAACTTTTTAATTGTTTAGGACCCACTGGACCATCTGGTCCACCAGGAGAAAAAGGACTTCCAGGTCCGCCCGGCTTCCCCGGTCTGGACGGTGTTAAAGGCGCTCAAGGTTATGTCGGTCCAGCTGGACCACCTGGTTTGCCAGGATTACCCGGACCTGTTGGTGCACCCGGTTTACCGGGTCTTCAAGGTCCTGTCGGTATACCGGGACTTACTGGTGAACCTGGTGCGCCTTGCGAACAGACACCTGATTATCTTACCGGTATTCTCTTGGTCAGACACAGTCAAAGTGAAACCCTACCGGATTGCGAGCGAGGCCACATCAAACTTTGGGAAGGATATAGTTTATTGTTCACCGATGGCGACGAGAGAGCGCACTCTCAAGACTTAGGTGAGCTTTACGCCGTATTGTTAATAACAGTTAGATCTTATTTTGATATACAGATTGCAATAACATCAAAATTGCAATAACGTGATATGTTGCGATTTAACTTTTTTATAGAAAATCAACAAACTAATTTTGTATGCAAAAACAATCTAAATTGTTTTATAAATAATCAAAAAACAGGTTACGCCGGCTCGTGTGTAAGAAAATTCGCGACAATACCTTTCCTGTTCTGCGACGTCAACAACGTCTGCCATTACGCTAGTCGCAACGATCGCTCTTACTGGCTATCAACCAATAGACCAATTCCTATGATGCCTATTGAAGAAGGAGCAATAGAAAATTATATCTCCAGGTATCGATATCACGATATAATGAACTTTACATATGCTGTAGCATATCAAGATTTTTTTTTTTTATTAAAACATACAAAAAATTCTATATTCTTTCGGAAAAAAAGATAAAGATAATATTATTTCCAAACCGAATATTATTTTAGCATTGAAAATTGAATTATCTTTGGTAAAAACTCGATAAAAAATGTTCTTAGATATAAAAAGAACACATTTACTTAATAAAAATTCAATAAATGTTGACTTTTTAAAATATATTTGATTATTGACAGATGTGTGTACATTATATAAATTTCTATGTGATTTTCAAATGCTTGTAATTTTCTCAATATTAAATATTTTTGATTAGATTTATGATTAAATTTTCCATCAAGATGAATCATACGTGTTCATAAATCTGCGACAGGTGCGTGGTGTGCGAGGTCCCGGCTAACGTGTTAACAGTACACAGTCAGTCAGTAATCATTCCAGAATGTCCAGACGGATGGACCGGTCTTTGGATTGGCTACAGTTTTGTTATGGTAAGTAGTTTTTTATGAAACTTTCATAACGATAGAAACAATTTCATATTTTTGAGTCTTGAAGACATCACACGTACTTTTTCAATAAAAAAGATTACTATTAATATGTATATAAAGCGTAAAACTTAAAAAAATTTTAATATTATACTATATATCGAGTTGAGAAGATATCACTAAACATTATTTACTAAACATTATGTATCTTCTAAAATTATATAAGTTTCTATCTTTTTCTATTTGTTTACGATTATTTCTTCAGCATGTAAGTAGAATTTAGAATTCACTTCACGTATTCAGTTCGCATCATTGCATAGATAAATTCCATCAATCATATCCGAAATAAAGCAAACTTTCATCAATATGGCTGTCAAGAAACAAAGATCGTTTTCTGCCAAAAGACATCCATCCATTTTATCTGAGACGTCTTTTATCAAGAATTACTCAGCGATTTGATAACGATGTTGATTGGCGCAATTGTTCGATTTGCAATTGTCATTATTTTAATTTGAGAAAAATAAATTTGCGTATGCGCACATATATTACTTAATTGTTACGCGCTATTCAGATATGTCGGAAATTCAAACTTCTAATTTATTGAGTGAATTTCTTCGCGATTGTTTCAGCACACCGGCGCAGGTTCTCAGGGCGGTGGCCAATCCTTGTCGAGTCCTGGTTCTTGCCTGGAAGATTTCCGTGCCACACCGTTCATCGAGTGCAACGGTGCCAAAGGACACTGCCATTACTACAGTAATCAGTACAGCTTCTGGATGGTAACTATAGAGGATAGTCAGCAGTTCAGAAGCCCCGAAAAGGAGACTCTAAAGGCGGGCAATCTTAGATCCCGAATAAGTCGCTGCCAAGTTTGTATAAAGAACACGTGAAACACGATCGCGCCACTCGTTTACACATAAACAGACACAGACATGCATATACACACTTACACACGTGAGGACATACTTCCTTCCTCTTCTTTTTTTTTTTTTTTTTTTTTGTAAAGCCGAGAACAGAAGCGAAAACTGTTACTACGAAATATAAAACGAGCAGCGATCGAAGCTAACATAATTTCGACGAGTTTTTAGATCTCGACGTTGAACATTTTTACGTGAAAAACGATCTTTATCTTTATTGTACATTACGACAATGAAAACGCGTTTCGGTTCGCGACATTTCGCGGCTCCGTAACACGGAAAATTGAACTCGTCAGAACTGCGCCGGTTTCGATCCTTGATAACAAGGAAGAAAAGAGCGGGTAACGTCTCGCGATGGAAACGACAGAACGGAGAAAGAAAGAACGCGCGACGTGTTCTTCTCTCTTGTGATTTTCTCTTACCGGGTGTGTTCAGCAACCAACGTCTTGTCTTCATTATTTTACTGCCTTCCCCTCTCCCATCTCCAGGTTCTGTGTCCCGGATAACTTCTTTCCTCGAGAAACCATCCACCTCGCTCGTTACCTGCTCTTTTATCTTCGCAAACGCTTCCTTCTTTTCGCCATATGTGTTTCTTTTTTTTTTATATATATGTATAACTATTCAAGCAAGTGCCTTTAGCGTTACTACTCTAGCATGTAAAATAATATATATTTATATTCTCGTATGAATCTCGTATTGAATTCTAAGTTTACTACCACGAACACTGCCCATATTCAATTATGGCACATTTTACATATTGTATATTAATATAAATGAATCTTAGCCTGGTAATATCGTGTGACGCCAAATATTTAAATAAATAGGTATTTTGCTACGTAGCTAATAAAATTCTACTTTCAAACCTCACACGCTGATATCCATATTTGTACTTTTGTGTCTGTATATTCCTATATGTTATTTTTTAAATATAATAAATAATGCATAAGTGTGATGTCTGCATGTAGCGTGCTTGAAAAACGCGTGTATATCATTGAGTCGCGGGAAAATATAATGAGAGCTGAAATCCTTTTTGTGTGCGCCATCCATTAATTTTATATATAGTAAATCGCAAAGATATATTTTTCACAAAACAAATATGATAACCAATATCAATTACTTTCACATGTTTTTTTTTTTTTTTTACACAATTTTAATTGAAAAACCGAAAGAGAAAAGTGTACTCTAACAATTTCATTCTAGGAAACATTTTCCCCGAGTTCCTTTTTCCGCAGCACATAATTACTTCAAGACTTTAATTGAATCCAAGAGACGCGGAGCACCCATTTTACCGCTAGAATAAGAGAGGAATTCATTCTCGCTAATCACTACTGTTAGTACAGTTTCTTTTGCTTACAAATGTCGCAGTGTATCTTTTTATTATATAGAAGATAATCTCTCCTAGAAAAATTTGTTAACACGGAATACGCGAGACGGAACACGCGTATGCGAGATAATCCACAAAAACCGTGACTTTATTATAATAGAAATTTTATCTTTTTAAATGCGACAAAAAAAATATTTGTAAAACAAAAATAGTTTCTCTAATAAAACTTTTGTGCAAAATTTGCTTTAAAATCAGTACAGAACTTCAGAGCTGTTAATTTTGCTCCAAGTTTGTATGAACTTTTACACGTAGTTGTTACACGTAAGGCAACTCGTTTTCTCATGCACGTAAACAGTCACGGGCATGGCGATTTTTCCCGGCGATTTTACGCGTATATACTCAAACGCCTCTCGTTATGATAATCTGTTCTCCAAGAAAGAAAATAGCTAACGTCGTGGGGCACTTTAAAGTTTCGAAGGGCTGTCTTCGTGTCAGGAAAGTTAAGACGCTCGCGGAATTCTGTAGGAAATTGATCAAGATCGATGTCAGTCAAAAGCCATTTAAGTCCTAACTGACCTAAAAAGAATAGAACAAAAAATTCAAAACATATTTCACAAGCACAGACATTTCTTACAAAAAGAATAATATTATAAGAAATATTCAATTTTTAATTTTATTTTCCTTGTAAAATATTTTGTCAGTAATTTTGCTATATCACTCATAATTAAATAATTATATTCGGGGTGAGATTAACATTATACTGCACAAAATGTAACAATTGACATATTTCGATTTCTAGGTGTATCTAATTTGCAAATTTCATGGAAATCAGGTTGGGATATTACCGCTGAAATATAATAAATGTGCGAAGATAAAGTAGGAAATAGGAAAAATAATATTTAAAATATCTGACAAATATTTGTCAAATCAATTAAAGACAATTTTCCTCAAAGGTATCGCCAACAATATTGGTAACATAAAACCAATATATTTTACATTATTTAATAAGTAAAAAAGATGTTACATTTAATGATATACACATTATTAGCGCACATTAGCGCACATGTGTAATCACATATTTTCCTCCTTGTTGACAAAAACAACGTTAGTATTGACGAAAGAATTAATTTTATACGCGGCCTGTTTGCAATGCTAAAGTTTTTCTTCTTGATTTTGATCAAAGTACGAATGCAAATAAGATATAACGTCTAGCGAGCAGCTGCGTATTTGAATTCCTTCAAGCTCGACGACTTGGATTCATTATCATATGTTTTCTTTTTACGCGTAAACAACATCGCCTCTCACTCGCGATTGTAACACCCGCGTTCGACGGGCATATGAACGGACGGGGCTTGTTGAATGGCACGAGGATTGAATCGAAACGGAACACAATGCCGCAGCCGTAATGCACGCGAAGCTCGCACTCTTCCGCAAGCTTCCGGCGAGATACTGCAACATTTCCTCGTGCATACATCAAGTCGGCAGCGGTGCGATATTTTGAGTGCTGCGCAGAAAACGACACGCGACACGCAAAAGGCGTGAACAGAATTATATCACTTGAGTTTATTCCAAACCATGACAGAACTGTGAACTATTACAAATTTTATATATAAATATATATAAATGCAACATATATATATATATAAGACCAGCGAAATAATTTTGTCAAACATTAATTATTACGTCAGTTTCTGGCAAAGATAGTACAGAACATGTTGGTCAGAATGCCGTCAACAAGTGTTCTTGACGTCAATATTCTTGACATAGTAACTAGAGAGACGAGCCTCCAGAGAAAACACCAACTACGCTTCTAGAAATAAATTAGGAAAGAAATGAATATTCAATTAATTCTCTCTCTCTCTCTTCCTCACTCTTCCTCTCTTTCTTTCCTTACGAAAGATTCCAGCGGTATACATTTTAACGTGACTTGTAGTTTCATGTGTTTACGTACACACAAGTAATAAATTCAATATTTAATTAGCCATGAAAGTGGTGAGTCGGAATCTCGATTTTAAAAAACGTCGCGCGTTGTTTCTTTACAGTTCTAGAAAATTTCAAAAAGTAGTATTATTTGTAATATTTTTTAAAAAGTTATAGAAAATTTCTTTTGTCATAGTAATAGTTAATCTAGCCACATGCGAGACTAGTTGATTATCGCATGCATTCGATCGAGCGAGTGGCGATATTTGACAATAATTCGCGAAAATTAGAGAACAAAGGCGCACGATAATTATTCACAGCTCTATTGGGGAGCTTTCTATTGAATTATAATTTATTTAATACCCCGCAGAATTGCATCACATAGATTTATAATATATAATACGAAATCATATGCGCATGCGGAATCGTGCGCGTGCAAACACATATTTTAAAATACATATAAAAATAAGATAATGTTATAAAATTATACAAATATATACGATAAACCGTAGGGGCAATGTCTCTAGTTTTGGAACAACAAATAAAAAGAAAATTTGTTTTTAATAAAAAAAAGAGTTAACATAACAAATATAGTTCTTTATATAAATAAACATTCCTTAGATTATTCCCATACTCCTATATTTCAGTGCGATATACATAAAAAAAAATAAATATATATATAACATATTTATCGAGCAATATCATTGCAATCACGTTATTTCCTATTTAAAATTCTCGTCGCGAAAAAAAGTCCGGTACATCTCAATATCGACTGATAGCATAGTAAGAAGTTTACGGAAAAAGCCTCAAAGAACACAGTTAAAAGAGAGGCGTCCGTCGTAAAGAAATCCTATGCCGAGGCCAATGTGCTTAGCATAACAAGCAGTCGAGCCTCCAACGAAAGGAACCTCACTTCGACACACGTGCCGCGTCTTGTAAAAAACTGTCGCGAAACATGAAATTCCTTTTTGACATCCCGGGCTAAGTTTGGAACCGGCACCGCAACATTCCTCTTGACATTTATTTTGAAAGGAGGAAAATCTTGGTAAAAAACATCCATCGCGCTTTAATTTAGTGATATCTGATGATTTTCTTAAAGTTGTCGTAGTTCAATGATAAAAAAAAAAAGATGAAATATATAGAATGTAAAACAAAAATTGCGTGCTTCTTTTGAATTGAAAGTTTTTATATACCAAAAAAAATATCTATGTACTACTTAAAAATATGTACCAGTTTCACGAAAAATAATGTTGTATTTCCTACTACTATTATAACCAAACGAAAAATATTAAACGTTGAAAAACAAATCATCAAAATGCTTGGATATCAAAGAGAATAATATTTGATATGAAATTTTGTTTGTTTAAATATTTTTAATTTATGAAATATGAACTCTCTTTTGGTAAAAATAATATGAGATTCTCTAAAGTTCAATAAAAATAATAAAAAGCTTTTAATTTCAAATTAATATCACGTAACGTCAATTATAGAATACAATGCTTACTGATTTCGTTTACGAGATTTAATTCACCGCTAAGGCAAATAAGAACAACGTTTCTAACTTCTTATTCTCTACTATTATTTCACTGGTCAAGACAGGTCGTTCCGTTCAGGGCAAAAGTTTCGAATGTCAAGCAGTAAATTGAACGAAAAAAATCTCGATTTAAAAAACGGAAATCCGAGCAAGAAATATCATGGCAAACGCAAGTTTGAAATATTGTTGAAACATATTTATGACACCTTTAAGATATTATAATTTTCATTGGATTTTTCTATATAATTTTCTACGTCTGATTTATTTATTTATCCCTGAGATTTTTTTGTGAACGAGCAGAGATATAACTCAAGAAACGTCGCGTTAAACTCAATTACCGAGCAAACGCACGTTCGTCGTTGTTGTCGTCGTCGTTGCCGTCGTCGTTGTCGTCGTCGTCGTCGTCGTCGTCATCGTCGGAGCGAATAATACGCGACTGTAACTCGAAGTAAATAGTTACAAGGTATAATTGCATAAACATTAGCAAGACGCAACAAAGTAGAGCTGGCAACGTTAAGGCTTTACATTCTAAGCGCGACGGAGACCAAGACGAGGAAGAGACAAGGAGATCAGGACGGGTAAGTCTTTTTGCTCTCGTTCGTTTTCCTACGTAAACGAGAGAATGACGGGGACGACCGGAGCAAGAAATCTACGTAATTAATTATAATAGAAGGTGTGGTGCCGAACGACCGGTTCGATCGTCTTCCAGCCTCCGTCAAGCATTTCGATTATTAGCGCGTAGCGAGACCTCGATCGAGCCTCAGTGACAGAGAACCAGTCAGATTAGAATTGTCGATCATACCGAACGGTGAGCACACAGAATAGACTTCGCCAAGAATCAAGAGATTCACGCAAATTTCTGAAAACTATATAACTGTTTGCTGTTCGAAAGTATCAGCAAGTGGAGTTTAAAAAAAGAGACACTTGTTCATAAGCTGGGCGAGATGTTTGCGTCCAAATCTCGTGAACGTTGGAATGTTTGTGCCTCCAACATCGCCAAGCAGACGCACAATCCCATAAGATCGATCGTGGAGAACATCGTGGTCGAACCGAATCCCAACAAGCTGATGATCGCGCTGTCCATCGGTGAGTGAGTACAAGTGTGAAATTTTGAATTATTCTGATACGTAAAAAATCGACTCTCTTTCTTATTTTCGTCGTCTTTCATTCTTCTCTTTTTTTAGTTAGAATACGTCTTTATTTTATTCAAGAGTAAGAAGTTCGTACATTGTATTGTTGCTGTTGTTTTTTTGTTTTTAGAATTGTGTGCTTTTTTTTTGTGTGACAATGCGGATTTTCTCTCTTTGTAATATATATTTGAAATTCGCCGTGATTCTCCGTATGTTTATCTTTGCGCGAGCAAGAGACGAAAGACAGAAAAGACCACGAGATGGTCTGTCGCCAAGTGGTGGTGTAATCAAGCGGATATTTTTTTACGCGGGACAAAAGATGGCACGACCGATCATTCTCGGTTGAGGAAAGAAAGAGGGGTTGTTGCGAGAGCCGTCCTTTGCTGTAGCAAAACTGCTGCGCAGTGATAAGCGCAACGCGCGCGTTCAAGCGAAATTACAATGTAGCCTGCCTTTGGTTTCGCTAATGTATGAAACGATGCAGTAATTAAAGGGCACTTAACGCACGGAACCATGCTTTCGTACGGCATTTTGCTGCAAAAAGTGCATTAAAACCGTAGTAAAAAGTTCTACGCAAAATACTACGTGTACATATGATTAAATTCATAAAATATGTACATAATATTATATATGTTATATCGTGTGGGAAATTATATTTGTATATCTAAGCGATCATTCGTAACGTGACAGCTGGGAATTCTCACGACTCGAGATTGTTCGACCCTCTTGGAGATAAATATTTCTTTTTTTTTTCGTCTTTTTCTACTCAGAGTATTGATTGTCTATCGATAGGTCGAATTCGAACAGCAAAACAAGTAACGATCGGAAGTATAAAATACAGGACACTGGATACTGTAATACTGCGAAAAGCGAACAGAAAATCCATATCGGTTGACAGGAAAAGATTACGCGCTCTATATAAATACAGATTTTATATCGCTGACAAAATAATAGAAGTTTCTATATTAAATTAATCTTATATTGTAATAAAAACGAATTCTTGTTATTTATTGACTTTTTTTATTTACGTCCTAGAAACGATTGGAATATATATATTGGAATATGGTTGATGACAAGTCGGTTTGTATAAAAAATATTACAACAAACTCTTGAATTTTAAAACAAAGATTTGAGATCACATGCATATTTATGTGTGAAAATATGTGTAAGCGCGAGATTTAGTTACTTGAGACGTGCTTAATGCTGCCAGTTTTCTTAACGTGTGATTACACGACTCTTAGATCGTTACAGAAAAACAAAAACCAAAAATTATCTTATCAGGCTTAAGTGGCAACTACGCGTAAAACTTTTTAATGTTTCACTTGTCGGGCTTTGGCTGATTGGAAAAGAAAGTGAAAAGATAAAAGAAATCGATCTCTGAGTCAGTTATTGACGAAATGGTCGAACATAGATTTGTTGCAGCAATAAAAAACAATGGAGAGGGAATAAATTTGGGTAATTAAACGCTGGAGAATTGAACTCACTGCTTGAATGCTTATTGGATACTGAAGACTTGACTAACTGATTGTTTGACTGACCGACTGACCGAACGGCACAATTCTCACCAGGTGATTGAAACATCACCTCTCTAGATAGCCTGAATTGCGAGTAATTTAAAAGCGAATTATGTTGAGGCTTTCTTATCTTCTAACATCTGGTTAAGGTCACAAAAGATAACAGTACACACATGTACATATATATACACGCACATACATATATATATATATATAAAATTATTGCTTCTATTTTACTTGCCCGCGGCACTTTGTAAAAAGCGTTACGCAAATCAAGAACCACCTACAAAGGCTTTACGCCGGCTTTGCCAGTAAACGCGAGTAAATGCATACAAATTGCAAACTTTCGCTACAAGCACGGTTAGATTCTCAATATGCATGATCTCCCGTTGATGTGAAAAAGTTTGACGGGTCGGTGAAAAATAGAAAGTCGAATATCGCGTGCGCGCGCGAGGAAAATATGCTAGTAGAATATGAAAAAGCGCATTTTGAGTGACTTTGAAAAAAAATTCCTCCGCGGAGCTCTCTATGTATATAGTCCCGGTTTGTTTCTAAAAACCCACAAACTTTTCCGTGTATGACGTTTTCGCAACTTTTATTATGCGGCGCGGCGCATGATTCTTCACGGGGCTGTATGGAATTATAGTAATGTAATTTTTTTATATCACTTTTTTATATCAAAACTTGATTTTCTCTGACAAAATGTTGATCAGATGTATACGACGTTTGTATCAATAGAAATTATATTTGCGTTAATTTGTTTTTACACTTTGCAGTCTCATTTTATTTTTTGTTTTTTTTTTTTTTGTAAAAAACACGCGTTAACTTCTTTTGTCGTATGGTTCGAGTTTCTTCCGTCCGGAAGTTATTTGAACTTAATACTCTCGCTGTTGGAAAATATTGGCACGCAAACACGCGGCAGGATAGACAATATTTCGTTTGCTGACTCTGCTCTATTTTTAGAAGAAACAACTTTTTCCAAGATTTACTAGATAACAGCGTCCCAAGCGGTGGAACAATTCCAATATACTTGGCCCGATCAAATTCCTACGACGTTGGAATAACGTTCAAAGAGATACGAAACGTTGCTCACAATATTTCGTTATATTCTTCTAATAAGAAACATCGTATGAAATAAATTAATAGCAGCCGTTCGAAGAGAAATTTCGATGAAATTTCGTACGTCAAACTTTTCGGGAAGGAACTGACTCAACGACGTACTTGTGTATGTGTGTGTGTAATAAAACATCATATATTGTCAGAAACGCTACGAGAAAATACGTGAAGTGAAGTTTAGGAAAACCAAGTTTTCCAAAACGTCTTGTTCGAACTAATCGTCGAGATGAAAAAGATTGCGAAACTACTCCGAAGAAGAGTACTGTGCGCGTCAAACTCTAAAAGCGGCGAGAATTTTTTTTTGTTCCTGCGATCAGAGTTAATCGTATATATTTCAGTTTTTTTTTTTTTATTAATTTTTTTTAACTTGTTTAATGCTTCAGAAAGTTCTTCTCTCGAACTTTTCACGCTAGAAAACGCGCGATTTTAACTATCCGGACAGAGTTTTATAAGCGATGAAAAGTTAAAAGGCAGTGGTAGTGACGCGTGAGTCCTCTTAACATTTGCAGCATTCGCAGATAGTGCAAAACGCGAATGTGTCAGGATGTATCGGAAAAACGTCCGGAGCGCGGTCCTCGGCAAATTTTATAGCGGAATAGAATAGAACTGACACACGAGCACGCTAATCTAAATATATTTCGATACAAATCCCGCCCGGATGTGCCAGCGGCTGTATAAACATTTTCAAGAGCTTTCTTTTGTATTCCATACATATGCAATTCGAAAGAGATTACAACGTCGAAACTAGAATGGAATGAAATGACGTCACACACGTATTTGCGAAAATTGTATTTTATCTTTGGAAGGTGAGGAAACAAGTTTCAACACATGCAATGGGATTAGAGTGTAAGGAGATTGCTGTTGACACATTTTGCACTCTTCTTGTGTGTGAAAAAAAAAAAAAAAAAAAAAAACAATTTTTAACACTTCGAAAACCGAAGTATATTTTCGACAATTCGGAAATATTTTTCCAAATTTTTTGCAACACACGAAACTGCGTGCTGTGATGTGCGTGATGTATGTCTCGTGTGATATGTGATTTTGGAAAAATTTCAGAATACATGGCTATGTTCCAAAAATATCCGTAACCGGTTTATAAGTTTCTTGCTGACAAGAGATCAATGAGGAATAAAAATTTTTAGAATATTTTCTTCTTATAGAAGAGATATAAGTGTATTAAATTTTGAATTTCTCACTGCGCTATTTGTGAAAAAATAAAAACTGCGCATGTATATTGCTGTTCAAATATAAAAAATCACTTATTTGATTCTGTTGGAATCAAAGTGTTGTAAAAAATGCGAACACAACATATGAACCGACGCGGAAATGACTGAAAATGATAATTAAAAAATTCCACACTCTCCATTTGTCATGCGTGCGCGTAATGAATAGTTCAATAATTTGTCGAGTTGATTGACATCAACTACAATAAACGTAAGAAATATCATCGGAAAATGTTAACTAGTTAGTTAACATGTTAGTGTGCAATAATGTCAACAAAAACATAATCCTCCTTCGATTAACGGACGACGAAGTTGTAATTACGTAAATTTCTCGCTCGGATTTTATTTCGCGCCGCTCTGTCCCGTATAAACAGAAATTTCGCAACAAGGATCGTCGACTACGTCAGTTCAAGGCCTCAGGAGAAACAATTAATTAATTCCAATTATATCGAGGACGTGAGTTGTGCGCGAACGAGACGATGTTTTGTTACACTTTGACGACGCCGCCGTGTACAAACAAGCGTTTCCTACGTTAGCCTGAATTTAGTAATCAATTGCAATAGTGCGCCATACGTGTAATTAGGTGTTTACGAGAACTACGGAGGCGGAATGTTTGGCAGGGAACCAGATTTATGCAATTAGCAGCCTGTGTGTGTGTGTGTTAATAATCGCGCGATGATCAATAAATCAATATTGTCCCGTGGCGTTTTCCGATAACCTTTTTTAGAGATCCTATTGTGAAAAGTCCGTTGTTTTTTTCAGGCGATCCTACAACTTTCGGTAATTTGAAGCCGCCGAAGGAGGTAATCGAAGCCGTTCAAGAGAGCGTCGCTTCGCAGTTGTACAACGGATACGCGCCGAGCACGGGTAATTGTCTCAACTCGCTGATACAAAAAAAAAAAAAAGAAAAATAACAAATTTACCTATTGTAATGACATAAATTAAATACATAGATGCATCAATTAAATTTATAAAATTCAACGCTCGTTATTTTATGTTATACAAATTTTGCTAGCATTTAATATCGTTCAACATACCGTAGATAATTATAACAGCGATGATACGTGATTCTATCTATTGTCTAACACAATTGTATACATTGTATAAATTATTAATTACTCGCAAACAAACGTTCGCTCCGGATGACTTGTTCATCACAAATTTATAAAAGTAATTTTATTCAAAGTAACGCGAATACTTGATATTTTCTTTGTTTGTTTACGCGTTGCACATTTTAATGTTTGTTTCATTCCTGAAGTGAACTTCTGTCCCCGTTTTGCCTTTTTGCGCTTTATATCACATCTTTTAATAAATTAGTCTAAAGAGAAAATAATTGTGCGCACAATTTTGCAGGGCATCAAAGGGCACGGGAAGCCGTAGCAGAGTACAGCTCGGACGAGTTCGTGAAAGTTGATGCCAAGGTACGCGAAACAAATGGACACGTGCCTGTATCGAATGTCGATGGCAGATCGATTGGCATGTGTTGCAAGTAAATTTCGAGTCATTGACAGATAGGTACACAGAGGTTTTTTCTTGTCATAACGTGTATAACGTTCGTATATATAGTTTATTTATTCAGCATGATCGCTACACTTGGTGCCTCGTCATGATCCGAGCGCGAACAAAAGTTTCAGATCTGTGGTGGGAAAGACCGGATCGCGAAGTTATACTCGCAAATTATTAAACAACAAAAACTAAAATGTTACGCAATATCACATAATGTTGTTTCTTCGTCATATATCGTGTTCTGATAATAATTTTATATCACGAACTGATATAAAATTACAATGTATGCAATGAGCGTACATTATAATGTAAAATCTTTTTGAAAAATGTTTAATTATTCACTTTTATTATACTGTACGATTATTATGTAAATAAATATTGCACATTTGCGAATGTGTGTTGCATCAAGTTTTTGCACTATAGCAAAATTCCCGCCATAAGTAGTCATTAATTATTAATTCGTCTGTATCTCGATCACATTTATCACGTGAATTTAATTGTGACTTTTTGATAAAAATATTGAAATTCTTTTATGTCACAAACAGAAATTTTTAAAATATATGAAAAGCACAAAAATATGAAAAGATTCACAAAAATGATTTTTTCTGTAAAAATTATTTTACAGAATTATTTTACTAATCTATAACGTACCATTTAATTGTGACATAAGTAAGATAAGTACATAACAGAGGAAAATAATTTTGTATCTCTATTCTGCAGGACGTAATTCTGTGCAGTGGATGTTCTTGCGCACTTGATCTGTGTATCACAGCTTTAGCCCGAGAAGGTCAAAACATCCTAATTCCACGTCCCGGTTTTGCGATTTACCGAACCTTGGCAGAGGGATTTGGTATTACGGTTAAATCATATAATCTACAAGTGAGTATTTTTAATCAAATACAAAATAATAATTTTGAGGTCATATCGAATATTTTAATAAACACGCATGTAAAATGTATAAAAATATAAATATATATGTGTGTCAAATACAAAATTATTTTAAGTATCAAACTGAAAAATCTGATAAACATGCAACTTATTTTGTCATTAACCGCGTGATAAATGTGCTTGTCGATTTTCACGAATGTAAGATACACACAACGAGTCGACGATTAAAAATGCGATGAGATTTGAATATATATTTTAACAATGTAGAACTTATCGACCATTGCTTGATTTTCAATTTCACCGCTGAGTTAAAGCGAATCGGAAACGTGACCGAAACGACATTCTATGCTGCTGCTGTCGCGCGTATCGATAAATTAAAATTTATACATTCTACACCCCAAGATATTCTTGGTGTCTGAGAATAATGCAGATTAAAAAAACCGGAGAGTTTTTAATTTAAAAAAAAAAAACGAAAATAGAAATTTTATAAATAAAACAACGCGAGAAAAATATAAAACTTATATTGTTATTTAATGTATTTGTTTAATGTGATAGAAACGAACTTGACGCAATAAATACTTCACATTTCCGCGATAACGCGCAACAATATTGATCGATACCGCAGCGTGTCAGTGTGTGTGTGTGTGTGTGTGCTACTCTGTAATAATCACGTCTGTAAAAAAGAGAAGGGTAGCATTAGGCGCTGCCGTGTTGCATCGCCATTAATAAGAAATGTGCGCAACACCGTTCGCCATATTTCTTAAGTTGCGCTTTATTACAAAACGCACTTCAAGCGACGGTCGAGCTTAGTAAGCGGCTTTATATGCAAAAATATACCCATTTTGTCGGGTATCTTTAAATTTATTAACCGCCCAGGGTGTGAATACATTCATTTACGAAAAACAATGAAAGTGCATAATATCGCGTTTATATAGGATGCACAAGGACAGATGCGATAGAATCTTTTACCGCGACAGCGTTAACTACGTGTATCTTATTAAATGTGTGAGCGTGAAAAAATTCTAACTTTTGTTTTTAATCAAGTATAAAGAGTGAAATGAAAAAGTGACAAGCTCTAATTGGTCTGTGTAGAGACCGAAGTAACAATTTATATTGTTTTGTTACACACACACCACACATACACACGTAAATATTATATTTGTTTACTTCTCCAAAAATATTAAATCCTCCGTACTTTTAATAATTTAATTAAATTTTGTCCGCGCAGATGTGTCTCGCTTGTATTGTGACGTAAACATGACAAGGAACTTACGGAATATTCGTGCAAAATCAACTTCAAGCCAATTGGGCGCAGTTATTGCTTAATGGCTTTAAACGCGGCACGAAATCATATTTAAATCGCTTCTCGCGCTATTTACACGATAAATCAGTGTTCTCTCGCACGGAGATCTTCAAACGTTGAACCGAAGTGTTAATGAAGCACTTTCCACTCTTTTCAGCTTCGCTTGGCAGCAAGTTTTAACGTCTAGCGCGGCGCGTCGTTGCGAACTATTTTACCACCAAAAAGTAATTACAACCGCAATGCCGTAGCTTTAATTGTCTACAAGGCGGAATGTGTACGGAATTTGTAAAGCGACGCGTACGATGCGCATATATGCTCAAACGTCACGCATACGTGAACTTTATGCATATGAAATACATAAAATCTCGCGAAAATCCGCCTGACCTTTCTCGCTGCACAATGTGTCTTTTCTTACTCAAAATAAAAGAAAATTATTTTGTTTGAAAACAAAACCAAAACGTCACACTATATACCTCATTTAATTTAACTTTCCCTTCTAATGACGTTGGTCTACAAAACAAATAAACCAGACAGAAAATGCTGTCAACTGTGTCTAGTTAACATTTTAATGCTAGAATAAACAAGATTCGCCGCGAATATACAATTGATTAATTAATACACGGCCCGTACGGACGCCAAAACATAACACTTTACGAAGCACATTGTGCGAATATATTTGTCAAACGGAAAGTGATAAAATCTAAAGAGCTATTCATCGAAATAATAATTATGAAATTTACTGGAAATGCGCATAAATACATTTGTGTATTTATATACGTTTTGCAAGCGCAATTATCATGTTCACAATTAAAAGCGTTGCATTATTTTATTGTTATGATATGCCGTATAAAATATAAATGTGTGATATTCAGCAATATAAATTACATTTCCCCTTTATCTTCTATAATTAATTTTTCTTTAATACTATGTTTTCTCGCATTGTAAATTTTAATATACGTATATATGACACAAATGTATATTTTTATGTTTACTTTCCCAACAAAACATAACTCGATACAAGTATATAAAAATTGTGCACTACATTTAGGTTACTTAAACCATTAGATTACTTAAACCATTTTTTTTTTACTAGCACAACACAGGCGCGCGCTACGCGCACGCTATTGTTATTTTTATTTAACGTGTTGTCAGTGAACACAACCTGTCACCGCGATGACAGTATATACGTCTTATAAACCATATAATACATATATGAGAAATGTCAGAAATAACGCATGAAAATCAAACTCAAAAAATAGTGAGAGAGAGAAGTGGAAAAACAACACGTGACTAAAGTTGCGTGACAGAGAAAAGGGTAAAAAAGAGAATATTATATATATTATATGTAATATTCTATATCTATATATAATACACACACATACGCATATATATATATA